ACACACACACACACACACACACACACACACACACACACACACACACAGAGATTTAGATTAAAATTACTTATATTATATTATATTATACACACGAATAACGCGATTCAGAATTAACAACACCACTCGGTATTTCAATTTACCGTGAAGAAAATCGAGAGAAGAAGGAAATCATCGAACTGGGACGTAGTTTTTTTTATACACGCCGTCAAAGGAGACGTGTTCGGAAACGGTGAACGAGAGACGGATACGATAACAACAGCGGACTTTACAACAATCACTTCAGTAAAATGTTCAGCGATACTTTCGAAATCACGTAGATGTTGGCGTCTACGATCTGGTCGGTTAGACAGGGAACACGGCTACGGCGCGACTAACCGGAGGAGGTGAAGGAGAACGCGGCGAGGAGTCACGAACAGCTGGCGGCGAGAGAAGCGAGTTGAAAGTACTGTCGATGTGTGTGTATTTGTGTGTATGTGTGTGTGTGTGTGTGTATCGATGTGTTCCACGTAGGTGCATCCGGAACGAATGTATCAGCTTGAAACCGCGGCCTCTGTTTCCCATAGCGGAGACTTCACAACACGCATGTACGATTCGCGAAAATATCGTATTGCAGAGACTATCGGATGAGAAAATCGCATTGCAAATTCCGAGTGCATCCCGCTCGTTTTTTTTTTTTGTTACTAAAATATTCTGGTGGAGCAGGACTCCTATTACAAGCGAACTCGATCGAAAACTCCGACCTAGAACTGAGATAATATTGACATTCATATCAGCGGCTGGTGAGCTCGACTAGACGATTCGATTGAATTAATTGAGACGGTGGAAGAGCGACGTAAAACTTCGTCGATTACGTTTCGTATATAAATATAAGCGCGTTCGGCAGGAAAAGCAGCTTTGCAACTGTTGTAAGATTTTTTAACCCTCCGTGGACCACAACGTGGTTTTTCATTGCTTTCCTAATCCAACCAGATCACTGGACGCCTGGTTGTGTTTTTCAAAGGTTAAAAAAAAATCTGAAAAAATTCTAATATCTCTTTCAACATTCGAGAATACGAATGATATGACCTGAAATGTTTTTCACTTTTTTTTTTTACGTACCAGAATTTAAGGCGGAACAAATTGAACATTGAAAATTCTTCATCTTTAAAGCCCCTGGTCGAATCATTAATAGGTTCTTATCCTTAGTTCTTCATGGATCTAAATATAAATAAGTCGTATTAAAAAAAAATTTACAACGATTGCAAAGCTGCTTTTTCCACTGAACGCTGCCTATAATTAATTTATACATTCAAATCCAATGACGCACTAAGAACAAGAAGCAATGATTTATAAAAAAAATCTTAGAACAATTTCCAAAGCTGTTTCTTCTGCTGAACGCAGCTTGTATTTATGAAATATAGTATCTCGTCGCCGGCGCTGTCGACAACTCGCTAACGATCGTACTACGTCGCGATACCTTTGGAGAGGATCCAAGCGAGCTCGTCTTCGAGGGGCGGGTTCTCCACCTCGAACTCCTTGATGAGGTCCTTCGAGTACACGGGATCATCGTCTTGGCTCCACCAGGCAGCCGCGACCTGCCTTAAAGTGGCGCGGACGCTCTCAGAATCCGAATAGTAGTGCAAGGCCAGCATTATTTAACATCGTCGCGTCGTTTTCCGATGGCCAATGAACATTCTGTCTTGCAGTATCAACGAAAATTTGCTTGGAATACTTGCAACTGCCGCATCTTTCTTCCCAGGGACCTCGGGATGCTCCCCCGGCTTTCTGATCCAAGAAAAACGAATACGCCGCACGAATTATTCATATTTCTATCTTGACCGCGTAATAATATTGCGGCGTTAGACAATATACGAAAGGCCGAGTCTTTTCCTAATTTATCAACGTCCTGGCAACTCTCAATTCTTTTTCACCAATAGTCTTTCTCCCGTCATCAGGATCCTCCTCTCATGATTGTACGACGAATCTCCGGCCTCTTCGTCGCTCTCCACGCAGATTTCCCACGAATCGTCAGCCTCGTCGCTGGCGAACACCACGACTGCCCAGTCGATCCATCGTCAACGGTTTGCTCCGGCTATCTCTCTTTTGCTTTCGCGTTGCTTTTTGCTTCCTCCTCCTCATCGTCATCATCGTCAACCATCGTGCCAAGAATAACCGTCGCTGGTATGTCTTGCCAAAAGAACGAAGCGCACCAAGTTTCGCATCGTTTCCTTTCGTTAGGATGTTTGTTTTTTTCATAATTAATCCAACGCCACGACGTAAGAAATGCCTATTTGGTCTGATACCAATTATATCTGATACTCATTATATTTTAAACAAGATACGTCAGCTAGAACGTCGTCCAATGGATCGTCGTCTAATCCATTTAATTGACCTCCATTTCTATTAATGTAGATTAATTTTAATCTTGGTTAATTTTACTTTTTATACTTTTTTCACGTTTTGTCGCCCTTTCGAATTCTATTTCCTAGCCGCCCTTTTTAGGCCTGCGAGTGCCTACACGTGCGCTCGCGAACGCGACATTTAATCTTGACATACAGCTGAAGGGTTTTCAATTAATGGACTCGCGCGAAAACAAAGGTACAAAGTACCATGAGTCTGTAATCCATATATTGCGAACAATTTCTAGTTCAATAGTAACCAAGCGGAAAATTCTGATCAAATCAATCGGGATTTCTAATTGTTTCAACTAAAATTTAATAGAATCAACCAGAAAATTCTGATTTGTCCATTTTCAACTAAAATAACTGATGATGCGCCAGATTCCCTTTCCAATGCGATGTCAAAGGAATATTCGTAGGGATCGATGAGGTACAAAAGTAAAAATGATAAACTTATTGGAATCTAGCGCTTTTCCCCCTCCCCCCCCCCTCTCTCTCTCTCTCTCTCTCTCTCTGCCCCATGACCTAGACCTAGATAGACGAAGCGTGCTAGTGCGACGTAGAATGCAGAGCGCGCCGTACGAAGTGAAGCTGTATCGTGAGTCCCTCCCTCTCGCTCTTAACGCTAGCTGGCCTCCCGGGAGCTCATCGATCGCCACCATACACTAGGACACGTCGGAAGACCTAGTACCACGATTTCAAAGGGAAAAGCCATATGTGGCTCGGAAAACACGTGGAGTTTCACATCTCGGGTTCCACTTGCCGCTCACATTGCACAATGTATATCAGTTTTCCGTTAAAACTCTCTCTCTCTCTCTCTCTCTCTCTCTCTCTGTCTATTCAAGAAAATTTTAATCGAGTGCTGCATTATACCCAGAAGATATAAACTTACAAATATAATATTATAATATTCTTAATTAGACTGAAGGAGGAAAATAAAGTGGTGCGCGCATTTTAAAGACTTCTTCGGTGACTTTTTGCATTGTGAAATTGACTTCTTGGAATCCATAGTTCTTTGATCGACGTTAAATTTATAACAGCGTCGTTTGATACTAAATCAATTCTTCCCATAAAGGGAAATTTCTCCTCTCGACGCGCGCACACAAACATATATGCAGTCCCCCCCCCACACACACACACACACACACACACACACACACACACACACACACATCGCAGTCTCTATTAACGTAATATACAGCTCTCCAAGATCAATATAATCCGAATTGCTCATTTTAATTGCTCACATATGTGAAACTCTATGGCTTAAGAGCTTGCGTGTGTTTCTCTGATTACGAGCATTCAGGCTGGATTAGTCGAGTTGACTCTTATTCGGTCGATTGGATCAGTTTACAAGTTGCGAGTGAACGAGCGTTCTAATCTCATCTCGAAAGATTCTAGAAAAGCGAATTTCTAAAAGATCGGTTACGAGAAAATGAGAATCGTAGGTTCAACTCACCAAGATCGGAGAGCGAGACTTTCTCTAAGAAGGGATCCACCACCGGCAGCTGTAAATTAAGAGAAAAAAATTAGTAAAATGAACGTTTCAAATGCAGACTTCGAGATCGTCATTGTCGCTATAGATAACAATTTTTTCTCAGAAAAAAATTCATTTCAAATTATTGCCGCTAAAAATCACAATGACATTATAAAAAAAATCTCTCTCTCGAAAGAGATTTCTCTGTGTCTTAAACAGGCTTTAAAAAGAATCAAATGCATAAAGTCAACGGTCTCTTTTTTCATATTTTTGGGAAATTCTGTCGCGAGTAACGTACTATTTTTCTCTTCCTTTCTTTCAACCCGCTTTTTTTACGACCGAAGATTTACAGAGTATTTATTGTACAAAGAATTACGGAAGACTGTCTGACTTATCCATTTTTCAGTCAGAATCTCAATTAATGTAACCAGACTCTCTCTCTCTCTTTCTCCCTCTTTCTCTCTAGTGTATTATTAATCGAGTAAAGTCTGTGCAAAGATAAGAGAGCGGAGAAAATACCAAAGTCCGTTTCAGCAAGGATCTCGGGCTGAAGGTGTGCCGTCTCTTGATCTTCGTGTACCAGTTCGTCAGAACTCCAGAGCTCGTGGCTTGATCCGAGCTCCTGGAGATACTTCCGGTCGGCTCGCTCGTTTGACGTCGGAACAACATTTTACGCGTCAATTAAAAGCTACTGTATTCTGTAAACGAACTGGCTGCTCCTTAAGGACCTCCGGGGAGAGTCCCTTGCAGCGAAGCAAACTCGCGCAACATATACGATGTTCGAAGTCTATCGATCACAGCCTGATTCACGTATCCTTCCACGTTCTCGACCTCGAACTTCACCTCGACCTCGATCTAGTCCTCGTTGTCGTTGTCACTCCGTGTCCCTGCCGTCCGGATTCCACGGCGTGAAACTCGGCGACGACCGACCCGCGGCGGTCAATCGACTCTTAACCGCTGGATCTCGCGTCTACACGACGATGTTTACGTCGTCCCGACGAGCGAAAGCACGGCGTTAACACGTCCTCGCTTAACACCTCCGCCGGTGTTACCTGCGAGCGCGTTGTCCGGGATATTTTCGACGGTGGCATAACTCTTTCACACCGGCTGGCCGCGAGATAGAGTCCATACACGGTCGGCTAATCGCGCTGCAGCCTGCCAAGAATTCGCGACTCTGTCAATAGACCGAGGCACCGATAGCCGCGCGGCAAACGTCTTTCATGCGTGAGACCGAAGCCGAATGACGTAACGCAATTTAAGCCTGTTCTACAATAGGCAAGTCGCAAATCGTAAGCCGTAAGAAATTAACCAATTGATGCTCGATTAGGTTTTTTTTTATATTCAACTGTGATTAGCCAAATTCTTGCGGCTTACGACTTGCGATCTTATTGTGGAACAGAAGCTTCTTCGCTGCGAATCCACCCGTGGACTCACTTTCCACCGAAATCCGCGCTTCCTTCTAGCTTTTCGCGAGTAGATCGATCATTGAATTCCTACCGTCTTAGCGGCAATTCGAAGGGATTAATCATTGGAGAAGTCTATCTTTTTTAAATCTTGTAGCTCTCCTTAAGTAAGATTTATAACTCACTGTCTTCAAAATACTTCAACACTGTTTCAGTGCCACAGCACTGAAAGAAAAATGTATTAAATTTTAATAAGTTATTTGAATAATGTCATTGAATATTTAAATGTAAACATATATTTATTTAATACAAGAACTATTAATGTTTTATTGATTTAAATATTATGTTTTATTTAGCAATTTTTTTGCCGGAAATAAATGTTATTTTAGCAAAATCTACTACATTTTTCTCTCAATGTATAGCTTCTTACTTAGAACATCATTTTTTTAGGTGTAAATACAGATTTAAAAATAATTTTGTTAACCAATCAAAATAATTATGTAGGAAACTCAAGCATAATGAGTAAAAACGTTAATGATAATGTCGCAAAAAATTTTAACATTCTAGCAATGAATTTGAGCATCTTATATAATTATGGATAGTCCAACAAAATTAGACTTTCAGATCTGCATCTATGCCTAAATTTTAAATACTTCTACAAAACGTTCTTTCCATAAATATAAATCTTTTTTTATTTTAGCTCCTTATTGTAATAGTTAAATCACTTTCCTATTTTTTTTTTTTAGGAAAATTGTATAAACACATAAAATCAATCTTTTTTTTTTCACGGTCCTGATGATGTCAATATAACCCAGAGTGGCTTCGAATTTGAGCTCTATATCCAGTTTTATCCTCTCTTCTCTATATAGTGACTTTCTATCTTCTAAAGGTTAATCTCGCCGTTTATTAAAATAGGAAACTCACGTGCGAAACGATCGGCGATGAAAGAAATTTTACAAGAATCTACGTGCTTGCGGAACCATCGACGACCGCGTTTTAAATCTTATTAATCGTTGACAGGTTTGACAGGGTTGACAGCACTAGGCGACCCATACGATTTTATTAAACGCCGAGCTATCTCAAGGAAAAATAACGACGCCGACGGCGGCGAGGTCTTCGTTGTGGATCACCGGTTCGGAAAGCGACACCTCACTTTTTTTTACCCCATCTCGCAGGGTCGTCTTTTTCCAACTTGCGCGACTGGGCACATTCGATCCACGCCAAGAATAGTAGAACGGTAGATACGACACACGTAACAAGTGTAATAAACAAACTCGTGATAAAGGTGGCGCCAAACATTTATCTTTCTCTCTCTCTCTCTCTCTTGGCCGTGCACGCTATATTTATTACATCATCAATAAGATCTGGTATTTGGCGGAGCGAGCGGAGTTACTCGCTAGAAGAGTACGAAAAAAAAATAACGAAAATCGAAGGCGCTATCGCGTGAAACTGAATAGCCCAGCCTGATCGAATCTAAAAATAGGATGACACCGCGCGTTTCCTGGCGGAAATTTAACCGAGAGTAACCACTGGACCACGTGGGCTTTTCCTCCTTTTTTTTCGCTCTTTTCTTCCTCATCAGTCATTTGACAGAATTGAGATAGATTACGTTCAGCAGAAAAAGCAACTTTGCAACTGTTGTAAGATTCTTTAATATAATTGGCTCTCTTATCCTTGTTCCTTACTGGACCTAAATGGAATAAACCATATTAAACAATTTTACAACCGTTACAAAGTTGCTCTTTCAGCTGAACGTTTATTTTGCAACTGTTACAAGTTTTCTTTACGCTAATTGGATTATACTTTTAAATCTAGAGTAAACAGAGTCTAAAACGACAAAAAAAAAATCAGAAATTTGTTGCAGGATGTGGTTTAATTAACTGTCTAATGAGATTGAAGATTATGATTTGATTCGTGTTGATGCGTTCAGTGATTCTTTAATATGACTGGTTCTTCACTGGATCTGAGTGTAGGAATCAATTATATTAAGGAAACACTGAGCACTCACCGATTAAAGTTAATCTCGGCTTAATTTACTTTTCATCTTTTCCCATTTTAAGAATTATAGAAAGATAAAGATTAAAAGAAAAGAGCCACGATTAAGTTTAATCTACATTGACAGAAACGGACGGAGAGTGTCTAACTGATCGATTCAATACGACCTTCATTTTCAAAGATTTTAATCTGTCCAAAATTTAGCCGCGAGTTAAACACCTACTGTCTCTCCATCGTCTCATTGAACGAGATGGATGAAAGACAAAGCAGAATAAAGCACTAATTTATTATTCAACAGAATTCAAACACACTTATTTATTCTTTTTTTCTCTCTCTCCATGTCAACGAGACAATGAAGAGAAAGGAGCGCTTGGTTTGCGAGCTAAGTTTTGGATAGGCTTGATCTAAAGGAATAATATCTCCTATCTCATATCTATGAAGAAGGAAGCTTCCAACAGTTATAAAATAAACGTTCTTCTGAATGCGACTATTGATTCAGCGGCAGTCTCCGACACGACAACTTGTTGACGCGGTTCGTCCACTCGCGAGGAGGCGAAAATCAGGCGGAAACCCCCCCCCCCCTCCTCCCCACGCCTCGGTGAGGGAAGCGAGTTGGGCTCGGGATTATGCGAAAACACGGTGCGCGGCGCCGGCGATTTAAGGATGCGATCTAGATTTATATAAACGAGACACCCACGTGAGTGGTTCTCCGCGAAGCGTTCCGCCGAGGTAGAAACAGCCGGCAGGCGTCACCGCGACACAGCTCGTTATCATTATGGGCGTGTTAACGCGGGATATATTTTTTTACAACAACAAGCGTAGGCGCGCGACGGCGAAGTTTCGATATAACTCGCGTTCGTTCCGCAAGGCCGTTGTGGGAGATAAAAAAGTACACCATCGCGTGCGTCACACGGGATGAAGGAGGAGAAGGAAGAGAAACAAAAGCGCGCGGCAACTTGTTGCCGCGATTCGTCCTCTGGCGAGGAGGTGAAAACCGGAACCCGCGGATCTCGTCGAGAAAATTCATATAGGACTTTACAATCGGCCAAGTCTGACTGAGTCGAGTTGTTGACTGCGATAGCTCAAATACTGGCGAACAGTACTAGGCCAGTACCGGTCAAGTACTGGATGATGAACTTGGGCTCAGTATTGGCAGACAGAACTTTGGCGATCGGTTGACAGTCGTAGGATTGGCTAAACATTGGTTCCGTTATAATCGCACGTATAGGAACCCTGTATAGGAATTTCCTATTAGAAAACGATTCGGGCTTGGGATTTGTAAAGCACGATTGCGCCAGCGGATCCACGATGCGCTCGCTAAATATTATTTCGACGGTACCCTTCCCTCCCGCCTGATAACATCACGTAAATAAAGATTACGCGCGCCGAAAGGCCCCGAGGTATAAAGACTCTGTTATCTGAAGCGTTTGAACACTGAGTGCGATAGGGATCGTACACTGGGTGTGTACATTTGAACGGTGATCGTTCGCCAGATGCCAGATGAGAAAGATGTCGAATTACTTAAGGAATGAACGCGTAGAGGCGTCAATTAAGTCTCTCTGTGCTCGTTCGTCTCTCGCGCTCGTCAAAACGAAGAAGACGCGGCCAATATTCGCGATTCCGTCGTGGCCAG